TCTTCGATACCGGTTCGTAGCCGGCCTTTAATTCTAAGTTAGCATGATTTACTGTTGCCTCGTTAAAACCCTTGCCGGAAAACCCATTTGGGACGCTTGCTTTCAGGCCTAAAAATTGTGTCGTTCTTCGATGGTCGCCTGCAAGTGTTATTCCAAAATGTGAATAAGTAAAAGGAATGAATGGGGTCGTACCTTAGCAGTAATATCGCTTCAAGATAGTTATGTTCCAGTTGTTCGTTAGTTGCTCACCATTCATTGTTCCGAGTTCGTACGATCCCTTTCCGATGATCTTGATAGTTTGATAAGGACCTTCCCAGTTCGGCCCCAACTTCCCTTCGTTCGGGTTCCAGGTGCTTAGCGTGACCTTCCTTAACACTAAGTCCCCGACATTAAAATATCGAAGGTTGGCTCTTCGATTGTAATATCTCTCGATCAGCTATTTTTGGGTGGCCAACCGAACAAGGGCGACTTCGCGCCTTTCATCTATCAGATCTAGACTCGTATTCATGGCTTCGTTGTTTGATTCCTTTGTTGCGTATCGAAACCTGTGACTCGATTCTCTAAATTTGACCGGTATTAGAGTTTCGGCACCGTAAACCAGCGAAAAAGGGGTGGCCCAATACTAGACTTCTAGGTCGTTTGGTATGCCCATAAGACTTCGGGCAGGATTTCCTTCTATTTTCCTTTGGCGTCGGTCAACCTCTTTTTGAGGTTTTGGAGTATGATTTTGTTGGTGGATTATACTTGTCCGTTCCCACTAGTTTGGTAGGGTGTTGATAGGATCCTTTTAATCTTATGGTCTTCGAGAAACTTGCTTACTTTGCTGCCGATGAACTGTTTCCCATCGTCGCACATGATCTCGGCCGGCATTCTGAACCGACATATGATGTGGTCCCAAATGAAATCGATGACTTCCTTCTCCCTGACCTTCTCATATGCCTCGGCTTCCACCCACTTAGAAAAATAGTCAGTCATAAACAATATAAATTGAGCCTTACCGGGTGCCCATGGAAGGGGGCCAACGATGTCCATCCCCCATTTCACGAACGACCAAGGTGACAAGACCGAATGCAGCAGCTCCCCGGATAGATGAATCATCGGAGCATGCCTTTGACATTCATTACATTTTTGTATGAACTCCTTCACATCCTTTTCCATGTCAATCCAGTAGTATCCGACTCTAATTATTTTTCGAACCAACGATTCGGCGCCTGAATGATTTCCGTAGGTGCCTTTGTGAATTTCCCTCAGAACGTACTCGATATCTCCCGGTCCTAGACATATCGCGAGCGGGCAATCGAATGCTCTTCTGAACAGGGTTCCGTCTCTGGGTAAACTAAACCTGGCTTCCTTTGTACGTAGGGCCCTCGATTCCTTTGTGTCCGAGGGTAGTTTTCCGGTCTTCAAATATTCTATATATTTGTTTCTCCAGTCCCAAGTTAGGCTCGTTGAGTTTATCTCGGCATGGCCTTCTTCCACCACCGATTTCATGAGTTGTACGACTGTCCCCGAGTTGAGCTCATCGACTTCGACCGACGACCCCAAGTTAGCAAGGGCATCGCCTCACTGTTTTGATCCCGAGGTACGTGTTGTAGAGTCCACTCCTTGAACCGGTGTAATGTTACCTGCAACTTATCCAGGTACCTTTGCATTCATTCCTCTCTGACCTCGAAAGTCCCATTAACTTGGTTAACCACAAGGAGGGAGTCACACTTAGCTTTGATCACCTCCGCCCCCAAGCTTTTGGCTAGTTCGAGACCTGCAATCATGGCCTCATATTCGACCTCGTTATTAATCAACTTTACAGTCCTAATAGATTGTCTAATTACATTGCCTGTTAGTGGCTTCAATACGATGCCAAGTCCGGACACTTTTGCATTCGAGGAGATGTCCGTAAAGAGAGTCCAGATCCCCGAAGAAGTCCCCGAGTTCAACAACAACTCTCTTTCGACCTCGGGTATCAGGGTCGGCGTAAAGTTGGCCACAAAGTCTGCCAAAATTTGAGACTTAATGGCCGTCCGAGGCTGATATTCAATATCGTATCCGCTGATCTCCACGACCCATTTGGCCAACTGTCCCGAGAGCTCGGGTTTATGCATTACATTCCTCAATGGGTAAGTAGTCACAACACATATGGGTTGACATTAAAAATACGGTTTCAGCTTCCTGGAAGCACTTAGCAAAGCGAGCGCCAATTTTTCTAGGTGAGGGTATCTAGTTTTGGCCTCGCCTAAAGTCTTGCTAACATAGTAAATTGGAAATTGCGTACCTTTATCTTCCCGGTCTAGGACTCCACTTACCGCTATCTCCAAGATTGCCAGGTACAGGTATAGCTACTTGATATTTAGCTTAAAGTATATATATTTATATGTATATTGCCTCATGTTTTACTCGTGCTTCATGGATTTCGGATGTAAAATGTGTTGATTTATATTAATTCGGGGTGTTTTTATATGTAGGAATCATCCGGAAGTAATTGGGGGCGAAAGGTGCGAGATTAGAGCCAAAATGGACGAAAAAAGGAAACACCAGATTTTCAGCGCCACAGGCAGCGTGGAGCGCCACCTGTGGCGCCAGAGACAGAATGATCAAGAAGCCCAGCACCAGGGCCAGCGTGGGGCGCTGGGCTGGACGCTGGCAACAGAAGTTTGTCCATTTTTGTCTGGGACAAGGTTATTTCGGCCCTAGACCTACCCAACACGTATAAAAGCAAGACTAAGCTTATTTTTAGAGGGAGGAACGCCACTTTGAAGAGGAAATACACACGAGAAACATTCGGGAGCGAAGAGATCTCAGTTTTCTTCATCTTTTCTTAGTATTTTCAATTATCCAACACTTATGAAAATGTTTGATACTATCATGAGTGGCTAAAACCCATAGTTCTGGGGTTGTGATTTAGTCATGAATATTGTTGTTTAACGTTAACTTAACCTTGATTTAAATTCACTAATATATGGTTGTTTCTTCAATTATGTGATTAATTGCTTAATTGTCTGGCCAACAGTTAGGTTCTATTTACTATATATGCTATGCTTGGGAAAGCCATGTTTAGATTAGAGAAGAATTAAAGAGAGCACGATGTTAACTCT